AGAGTGGAATCACTTTCTGCAGAAGATCAAGGACTTTGGTTGGGTGATTGTTGTTGTTGTTAAGTGTCGCTGAGTCACAGGCGACTCATAGTGACCCTATGAAGGAGAGTCCTCGACGCTTGGGTGCCTTTCATCCTCTCTCCAGGTTCATAGGGTTTCTGGAGGCAAGCTATTATGGAAGTGGATGCCACTCCTCCTTCCAAGCTTGTTTTAATTGGGGAGCTCCACCCCACTCTCTGTCCGCACTGGCTAGCCAACCATTAACGCATTTGACATATCAGTGTCACAGTTGGTTGGGTAGGACTACAAAAATATGGGGTATGTGCAGCCCAGGAAGGGGATTAGACAGTTTGTAAACAGGTAAATAGCAACTTTTGGGTGGTTATGAGCTGTTCATGTTGGAAAAGAGTACTGAATATCTTATGGACGGCCAAAAGAACATCAAATATGTCTTCAAGAAAGTGTGGCCAAAGTGCTAAGACGATAAAACCTCATCTCACATACTTGGAGGCATGTTGCCAGGAGAGGTTATTCCTTGGAAAGGACATCATGCTTGGGAATGTGAAGGGTGGCAAAAAGAGAGAAAGCCCCTCAACCAGATGGACTGACACAGTGACTGTAGCAATGGGCTCAAGTGTATAAAAAAGTATGAGGATGGCACAGAAAAGAATAGGGTTCATATCTGTTCTTCACAGGGTTGCTATGGCTCGCATTCAAATTGATAAGTCCTAACAACAATATGCAAATAAAACATGCTGTGGTGAAATAATCCATAAAGAGTTGCATAGCTAATTGAAAAGCCAAGCCTTTCTAGAAATTGAAATCGACCAGCAGCTCCCAAGGTAAAGATGGGTTATCTTCTCCCACATTATTTATAGTCTCAGGAAACCGATGAAAGGTCAGCTATTAGTTCCAACTTGAAGGAAATAGGTGAGTGAGACCATTACCACTTGGTCAGTTTTGCCATTCTACCAGGCTTACATTGAGCAGATTTAAAAGAAAAAAATGAGACTCTCACTACCATCAAGAAAGAGGAAGCAGAGAGTCCAGCAAGCTCACCGGGTCAAAGACTCCCACATGAGGAGAAGCTAGACACAGAATAAGACATAATGGAGAACCAGACAGGCTTAAGACAGAACAGAAGTGGATCTTCCACCTCTTGCAGCCAGAGCCTTAGCTTAGGCGGGGAAGGGGGGGGGAGTGTGTGTGTGTGTGTGTGTGTGTGTGAGAGAGAGAGAGAGAGAGAGAGAAGTGGCATAATTGGCAGAATCAAAAAAGCTTTGTATTAGTGGCCCAGAGGTATGAAGCTATAGGTTAAGGGAAGGTTTGTTTTTGAGCATACCTAAGAAAAAGCTGTCCTAACGGAGGAATTAATTCCTGAGTGTTTCTAATCTGAAATGTAAAGTGCTACTTCCCTAATAAACCTCATAATCATGAATAATGTCTATGAGTTCTGTGTGGCAACTGTAATGCATTAGCAAATCTAATGGCAAGAGCCGTGGGAGAAATGGCGGGTGTTAGAACTGACAGAGGAAGGCAGTATGGAGGCATATGTGATCTCACAGAAATGGTTTCTGTGCTCTTCATGTTGTTAATGGGAATTCTTTCCTCTTGTAGAGTTGATGGAGACTGGACTCTGCTACCCTTGCACCTCCCTGTTTTTACAGGTGGCAAAATGATGGAGACAATGAAACTAAACAGTATTTGTTATACACTCCTACTTAGAAACAAGAGCATCTTAAAAACAGGCTTTGAAAGGAAGCAATATAAATATTTCATTCTTCATTTGCCTATTGGAATGAAATATAATAAAGAATAATTTACGTGTTCATATTTTTGGTTAAGACCATTACATTTCACGTCAGGAAAAATTTTTATGGTTTCCAAAGCTTGTCTTCACTTCATGTATTTGCTCCTCTGATGTCAAGTTATTAATGACAAACTTGGAGGCCTCTGTTTTTGCAAAACAATACAAGTTATGGATATCACTGATAAGACACAGCTGTGTAATTCAAATACATGCCTCAAGAAGGTGCCTTATATAACTGCACCAGTATTCTATTCTGCTTCAACAGCCTGAGTCACCATGGTAACTAGAACCTTGCAAGCATTTAGGTTTTTGATCATTTCCTAACAGTATTCAAGGCTATTTCTAACATTATTCTCACTTCATTACTACTATAATTACATGCAAGAGCTATTTTGAGCAAAACACCATTCATTTTATCCAGTTCTTACTCACTTAACTATGTTTTCATATACAATGGATGGAGGGAGAAAGAGCTAATTTATGATGCACATATTATGAGAAAGTATTTTCAGACAAGAAAAATATTCCATTAAGATATTCATGGCTCCTAAATTAAAAAAAAAAAGATATTCATGGCTCTGAGAATTTATAAAAATAGCTTAAAGTAGATTATATAAATAGCTTAAGGTAGAAAGGCACACACATTCAGAGCAAAAAGGAAACTTATCAGACACCAACTGGGGCATTAAAAAACACCACCTCAAGTTTTTCATGCACCCAAATAAACTTTTTATTTTACTTACAAAGAGTTAAAAAAAAAGTAAGTATAGAATGCACCAGGGCATTTAGAAGATGCTGTTTTCTTTTCTGATCGGAATATAAGTTACATAGAAATGACATTAGTCTATAAAAATGAACCTCTTATAATATTTATAAACAGTATATGCACTGAAGGAAGAAAGGTTCAAAATTACAAGCACAGAAAGGGAAAGAATGTCCATGGGAATGAATCAGTCAAAAGCTAATGCCATTCCATCTGGATTCCCATATTTGTCTCAATTCCCCATCTCTGATGTTGGCCCAGAATGACCACAAATATATCTTTGTTCTCTAATAGCACTATGACTATGATCCTCTTTTTTATTCATTCCAACACAAATACAAGATGGAAAGAACAACAAAAAACCCTTTTCTTAGTTATTAAAAAAAATCTTGTTTCTTTTAAAATAAATGTTTAAAACGAATAAACATTTGAAAGTAAAGGAGTATTAATTCATGTAACTTAAGGTTCAAAGAGCTTCTTTAGCAAAGAAATAATGAGAGTAGAATGGAAATGCTACCTCACTTCTCCAACATACTATGATACCATAATTTCAGTCCCCGAAAGAAATACAAACACTAACAGACTTAAGAGAATAGTAAATATACCTCTTTTCAAACAGTAATGTTGAACAAATAAAACACTAATGCTGAATTTAGAAATAATACTTGAATTTCTAAAATAAGCACAGAAAACATACATATACCAGACACTAGGAGATAGTCAGGCCCTCAGAAGAGACCAAGCTCAGCATCAGGGCAAAGAGTTAACACAAAGCTACAACAAAGTTAATTTGGAACACAGACAATATATTTCATAAATAAGGGGTTTTTTTTGTTTAATTTTTTATTTTATTATTTTTTTGTATGTACTGTCAAATCAGATCCGACTGGTACAGAAAGAGACTGTCCCTCCTTCTCCAGCACAGCATCTGGTAGATTTGAACCATGCACCTGTGAGATTTCAGTGCAGCTTCTTGCCACGAGGCCACCAGAGCTTGCCAATAAGTAAGTTTTCTAAATCAAAATAATGTAATACATGATAATTTTATAATTTGCTTTTTTCCCTATTTTATATCAAAGCTAACTTTTTATTTATATCTCCACCAAATTTCTTTTAATAGTTCTTTATGTATCTTATTTATCCCATGTATAAACACTTATTGCTGCTAATTTCAACTCAAAGTGACCCCAACAGGAAAGAATGGAATTTTTCCCATAGTCTCAAAGGCTGATGCAATCACATACGCACGACAAACTGAAATAATACAGGTTACCTTCCTTTGATTATTTTTTTTCAAAACAACTATAAGGTATCAGCTTACCCTAGTAAAAAGAGCAAAATTCAACAGAGCAGGAAACAGCAAATGCTGGTGAGGCTGTGGAGGAACTGGAACCCTTATTCACTGTTGGTGGGAGTGTAAAATGGTGCAACCATTATGGAAGGCACAGCACTTTCTCTAAAAGTGGGAAATAGAAATACCATCTGACCTAGCAATTCCACTACTGGGAATATACCCTAAAGAAACCAGAACTTCCACACAAGCAGATAGATGCACACCCATGTTTACTGTGGTTCTGTTCACAATAGCAAAGAGTTGGATAGAGAAGCTGTGGTATATTCACACAATGGAATACTATGCTGCTTTGAAAAACAAGGAACTCATGAAATATTATATAAAATGGGTTACCCTGAAAGGAGCTCTGGTGGCCTAGTGGCAAGACGCTACACTGTAATCTCAGAGGTATGGGGTTCAAATCCACCAGATGCTCTGCTGGAGAAGGAGGGGGCAATCTCTTCCTGTACCAGTCAGATCTGATTTGTCGGTACACATAAAAAATAATACAATAAAAATTAAAATTTAAAAAAAAATTTAAATTAAAAAAAAAAAAAAGGTGACCCTGGAGGACATATGTCAGACATTATGCAGACATATTATGACATTACAGTCAGAAAAGGACAAATACTGCATAGAGCCAATGTTGTAAAATGGGATTGACATAGGGGTTAGGGGAAACCTAAGAAAAGAAGGAATAAATAACAGAGAGAACTGTTTAAAAGGAATATAGGATTAGCTATTATTTTCATGGCAAGACTACAGAAAAAGAAATGCATAATAAAGTGGACTGTGGACTTGGGGTGCGGATTGTATAACAACGAAAACATTTTTTTCTTTTCAAAGAGAAAGATGAACTGGCACGGAGGGGTGGGCAGGGAGGAAAATGTGCAACAATGAACGATGGGGGAAAATTAAATGGAAAGAATATGCTGTCAAAATATGTTTCATGGAAAAAAACCATGCAGTATCAATAATTAAAATGCATTTTAACTTTTTAATCCTAACTCTTAAAAACCTAACCATCAACCAGAAAACAAGAAAGGAAAAAGAAAAAGAACTAGAGAAGTTTAAAACATCAAGGGCTCACTAACCTTAACCCATTGAACAGTTGTTTAGATTTATCCAGGAGATAGCAAAAGTCTGTAACTGTTTTCCTCTCTCCTTGAGGAATGTCATCTTCAGCACCTCCAGAGGACATGATTTCTTGAAGAGCAAATTCAGTCCTGTAAGAAAGGATATGCTCATCAAGTGAAAGGAAAAAGATAAGAGACATTATTTATACCTTGACAGTATAAATTTTCATTTCTAAAATAGATCTAGAATTCTTCTAATTACAATCAAATCAATAAAATAATTTTAAGTGTAAGATGATGAAAAATAAGCAATCTCACATGTTAGTGGGAGTAAAACATGGTACATCACACTTAAAAGCAAGTTTTTCAAATATGCTTTCATCTGTAGTATTTCTGAAGGCTATAAATCCAGGCATTGGTTAATCTAAAATTGTTGAGCCCTTTGACATGTTGATCCATTTAGTCTATTCTGGAACATCATCCTGTAAAAATTATTGTAAAAAAGAAAAATATCCAACCCATAATTATACTTATTTCAATATGATAATATTTTAAAACAATATAAAGGCACCAGAGAGGAAAACAGTTAAGTACTTCACAGCACATTAACTACTGAGCTCCTCCATCTCACTAATTTACAATTATATTGAAGATGAAGTAATAATGACACTAAAAGGGATATAAAATCACATACACATGAGTGCATCTAAATCCCAAAATCAATCTCCATAATAGTCTATGTGTTTCCTACTGCCAAAGGGGCCCTTTAGAGTAGTGAGAGAAGATCTTCACCCTGAAATCCACAGCGTCCCTTTTCAGCAGGAAGTAGCTAAGAGAATACGCCATCCCCTTTTCCTTATGACTCAGGGTGAAGTCTCTCTCAGGGAGGAGTGATAGGGAATGGCAAAGGACACACTGACAAAGAAGATTAATCAGAACTGGCTTTGACAAGCACTGTGGCATTTGGACAAGAACAAACTGGGAGGAGGGTAGAGAGAATAGTGCAACAATGAATGAATGGAAACCCAAAATCTCTGTAGATGTTCATTGAAATGAAAAATAAACAAAAGAAAAAAAAATCACATACACATGTTAAAACTAAACTGCCAAGTCCAGCCTATCTTTATATATAACTGAATCTATTAATCAGCCATTTTTATAAAAGCAAGTTGTTAAACAGTTTGCATACGATCAACTTATAGTAAACAAAAGAAAAATCATTTGTATTTACACATGGAGATAAGTCCCTGAGATAACACAGGGAAATGGAATCCTAGCGTATGAGTAAATGGGCAGAACAGACAAGGGGCAGAGACTCAGGTGTGGTTCCTTTATTTTGGAGAAGATTTTTCTCTCCAACACTGTCTTGAATAGGCAATTGTTGTAAGGCAACAATTGTCAACAAGCCAACCGGTTTCAGAGGCTGCAGGATAATATAACTGTGGCAGCACTGTAGCCAGCTGGTAGGGAATGGTTTACATTATGGTGGTGCTTACATGTTCACATGACACGGTTTCCCACCACTTATTTGCACACACTATGGGCTAAGTGATTTTAATGCAGGAAAAGAGACTTTAATAAGTATTAGGTACAAAAAAAGTGTTTAACATTGACATAAAAGATTCTTCGACTTGGTTACATTTCTTCACCATTTTTCCCTCAGAGTATCATTCTCATTCTCTAAGCCAAGAAGAAATAAAAGAAAACTACGACACTAAAAAAACATAAAAATGTATTTCCTGTATTTGTAAAAAAAAAAGTGAACTGTACACTGAAACTGAAACTTTTAAAAAGATAAATTAGAGTTAAAATAAATTAAGACTTATGCCAAGAATATTCAATCCGCTGAATAAATCATTTGAGAAACTGGTCTATCAGAAAAAATGTGGCATCAGGACTTGAGGAAAACTCAAAAACTGTCATTGTTTATAGAATGTGGAGGATATTCGAAGCACTTATTGAAGAGGATCAAAGACTAAAACCTTCACGATGAATTACTTCTCAACATCAAGAAACCAAAAATCCTCACCAAGGGCCAATAGGCAACATTATGACAGAGCAAAAACTGAAGTTCTCAAGAATTTCATTTTACTTGGATCCACAATCAACATCCATGCTAACAACCTAACAACAGTCAAGAAATTAAAAGATATGTTTCACTGGGAAAATCTGCTGTCACGGACCCCTCCAAAGTGAGCAATAATGTCACTTTAAGACTAAAAGTGTATGTACACCCATATTTATTGTGGCTTTGTTCACAACAGCACAGAGTTGGAAACAACCTAAGTGCCCATCAACAAATGAATGGATAGAGAAGCTGTGGTATGTTCACACAATGGAATACTACGCTGCATTGAAAAACAAGGAATTAAAAAATATTATACAAAATGGGTGACCGTGGAGGGCATTATGCTGAGTGAAATCTCTCAGTCACAAAGTCACAAATACTGCATAGTGTCACTGCTGTAAAATGGGACTGACATCAGGGTTGGGGGTAGAGTGAGAAAGATGGGATAAATAATGTACACTGCATTGAAACAGAAGAGGGAGAGAACTGTTTAAAAGGGATATGTGATTAGGAATTATTGTCATGACAAGAATCCAGAATGAAAGCTGCATAGTGGAGTGGACTTAGGGGGACGGATTGCATAACAATGAAAGAGTTTTCCTTTACTTTTCAAGGAGAAGAGTAAATTGGGGGGCAGGGAGAAAAGTGCAACAATGAATGAATGAAAACCCTAAGTCTCTGTAAACTTTCATTAAAGTTAATAAAAAAAATTATAAACAACAACAACAAGAAAAAGACTAAAGTGCACGTGATCCAAGCCATGGTCTTTTAAAAAAAAAAAAGAGGTTTTTCTTTTTCTTTTCAAGGAGAAGAGTGATTTGGGGAGGAAGGGGTGGGTGGGGAGAAAAGTACAACAGTGAATGACTGGAAACCATAAGTCTCTGTAAATGTTCATTAAAATTAATTTTAAAAAAACCCTGGAATGTGAATATATTCTTTTAGAATTAGAATGCTCACATAATGAACAGCACATCAGCATTTTATGTACCACTGATGTAAGAGGATACAACTGACCCATGCAGGGAGTATAACAGCTCTTAGTCCTACACAAGTGTCCACTAAGAAGTCCCCAGTCACCAGAGAGGAGGTCTTCTTGAGGTGATCATCCGCTACAGGCTCCACGCCCTACATGGAATCCACTCCAACACCAACTGACCCTCTTGCCACTCCTGACTCCAACAAAGAGCCCAGAGACCCCAATGGGCACAGGCATCCTCCTAAATGACTTGAGAGGACTTGAAAGCCCTTGATCATACAGCACTTATGGAATGGTTCTGTGTGCCAGGTATGATAAGTATGTGGTGGTACTTCAGTCACATCCTATCACATGCTTGCACAGTTAGGTAACCAAAAGTTAGCAGTGAGAAGCTGGAGCCCATCTCTGTGCCAGGTTTTCCTGAGCCCTTTCCTGCCTTTGAACATTGCCCCACCCTGGGTGTTAGCTCACTATCAAAAGGAGGTACAAAAAGATGGCAAAAAAATGGAGCAAAAGATCAGGGGATTAAAAAAAGTAAAATAAATACCCAGCACCTCTATGGTACAACCTTTCAACTGCTTCCTAAGCATCTGAAAGTTGGACAATGAATAAAGATGATAGAAGACTAAAAGCCTCTGACTTGGGGTGCTGGTAGAGAGTACTGACTATCTCACGGTCTCCTAAAAGAACAAACACGTCTCATGGAAGAAGTGCAATGAGGGCATTCTCCAATGGGAGGCAAGGATGGTAAGATTTTGTCTTACATATCTTGCGCATGCTATCAAGAGGCAGAAATCCTTGGAAAAAGACACTATGTTAGGAAAGTCAGAGTTAGTTAGACCAATAGAGGAAGACGCTCAACCTAATGGACAGACAGTGAATGTAACATTGAGCTTGAGCATGGCTGGCGGAAGATAGGGCAAAGTTCTCATCTGTTCATAGGATTGCTGTAAGTTGTAGTTGATTCGACAACACCTAACAACAACACAAGCAACCAAATTAGTTTATTCTCATTGCTGTTGAGTTAGAACCAAGTCATAGTTGACCCTCCAGCAGTTTTCCAAGGCTACAAACTGCAAAGGAGATTGTCCTCCTTTCTCCCTCTGAGTAACTGTTGGATTCAAACTGACAAAGAGGCACAACCTTTGGGTTAGCAGTGAAACACTCTACAGCCTATGCCACTGGAGCTCCCTAGCAAATAACCAATATTAATGAAATAGGTGCTCTGGTGGCACAGTCTATAAGTCCTTTTGAATTATTTATAACCTTGGAAACCCATGGAAGGTCAGCTATGAGTAGGTTTTGACTCAACAGTAATACTTTTATAATTCCACACAAAAGTGCCTCAAAAGAAAGGCCTGGTATTTGACTTCTTTTGTGTGTGTGTGTGTGTGTGTTCTGCTTCCATAAAATAAACCCTTATGATGCATGGTTCTAGTATGAAAAACTGATTTTTCCACGAGTTAAAACTGATTTAATTGAATCTGTATTAACAATGTAATAATACATTGAAGAATTTCATGAAACAACATATGAGCAAGAGCCTACGGTGATGAAGAAAGTTCAGGCTGCCTTGAAGGAAATAGCAAAAAATAAGGCCCCAGGAATAGATGGTATACCAATTGACATATTTGAGCTAACAGATGCTGCCCTGGACAGGCTCACCAAACTGTGCCAAGAAATCTGGAGAAGAACCAGTTGGCCAACTGACTGGAAGAGATCTATCTATATCTGTTTCCATCCCAAAGAAGGGTGACCCAACAGATTGTGGAAACTATAGAACAGTATATTGATTTCACAGGCTAGCAAGATTCTATTGAAGATTATCCAAAAACAATTAGAACAGCACATAAGCAGAGAACCGCCAGAAATCCAGGTTGGGTTTAGAAAGGGTCGTGGTACTAGAGATACTGTAGCTAATATTAGATGGATCTTAGCTAAAAGCAGGGAACACCAGAAGAATGTATATCTGTGTTTCATTGATTATGCAAAGGTGTTTGACTGTGTGGATCATAACAAACTGTGGCTGACTCTGAGAAGAATGGGAATCACAGAACACTTGATCATGCTAATGAGAAACCTATATTTGGACCAAGAGGCAGTCAT